TGTCTCTAGTCACACACACACACACACACACACACACACACACACACACACACACCTCTCTCCAACCTAAATACCCTACTTCCTCCCCTACCCCCTCCGAGTCTTCCCTACCACACACACACACACACACCCCACTGTAAGGCAGGAGAATTTCAGCTCTCATGACAAAAGTTTCTAACCGTCATGGTAGCAGAGAAAACCTTGAAAACATGAAACCAGTGCACCCTAACCGCTCAGAAACCTAAAGCAAGTAAAAACCTCCAACTTTCATTTTTTTTTAGAACAGTCTCATGAGTTTTAACCATTTGGGGCTGGCAAACTGTTTAGCTAACATGTACTCCTCAGGCAGGTTAGTCATAGTACAGCTCAGGTTCACCAGCAGGAGAGAGAGGCACAATAACTCCTATTTGTTTTAAAGTTTCATAGTGAGTCGAAATGTCAGATAACCAGACTCAACAGATTTATTGATTGGAAGTGATTTGAGTTTGAAATCCCTGGTCTAGATGGAAACCTTAAGCTGTTCCTTTGTTAAAATGCAGATTTCTCACTCACAACCTTTCCCCTACCCAAACAGCAGCCACTTAGCCAAATATCAGCAAAATCTAATGGACTATCACCTGGTTGAGGGGTCAGTCTGCCTTTTTGTCTCTGAGGAACTGGTCTGTGGGTTTTCTCCAGAACTGTGACATGTCTAAGTAACATCATACAGTAGAATCATATAACTTTGCATAGAATGTTGCCTCCCATATTTTCACAAGATAATAATGTTCAGCACATTAGGAGTTTTCAAATGATACTTCAAAAGGCTTTGTACAAAATTGATCATTATACTGAGAAGGGGTGAACATAGAGGTACAGACTGTAACAGTAATACAGAAAAGTAAGTATGTACCCACTCTGGAGAAATGTTTTGCAGCAGATATCTCTTCAGTCTGTTCTAAACTATGAGCTCAGTTTTGCTCATATTTGTATTCTTCTGATTTAGAAGACAGAAAATTCCAGACTCCACAGACCTTACACACCTTTTCTTATCTAATTATGCACACAACAGTTTAGCTGGCAGTAGACCATAGCACACAAGTAGCATAAAACCATGCAAATATTTGCCCCAACTGTACCTAGCACACAGTTCATATTTGGCAAACCTTAACAGAGCATACATCTTGCGTCTGACAGATTCCACATATTCAATGGAAAAAGGTTAGAACAACTGAACTACTAGTAAATTTGTACAAGAAAGTTTAGCATGAGCACAGGGTATTCTGGATGATTTTAACTAGTTTAGAGTCCTAACACCCCCATTTCTTGAGTAGAAATAATGGTTAAAAGCAGACTACAACTGAGCTGAACTGCAGCTGACATAACCAGCTCCAGAAAGGAAGGCAAGATGGCTGCTTCTCCCCAACATCATCTCCCAAGAGTGACTGGAACGTAACAGAGTCAGCACTGCAGGGAAGATTGCAGGTCTTCACTTACACACATGACAGCGCAGCCATTTCAGACTCATATTTCTCTTGTATTATTTCATTCCCTCCAGGAACGATGAGACAACAATGACAGAAAGTCCCATCTCATCATCGCCCTCCGATAGAGAGACACGGCCACAGATTACGCCAGCTTGAGGAATGGGAAGACAATGGCCCGATGCTGCTGCTCAGTTTGATCTGTGGATGTTGCTGGAATTAGTTTCTCTCCCTCTCTATTTAGGAGTCTGTCTCTTGAAACAGTGCTCTCTGGGCTGCCTGTTCCCATGCAGGATCCCACCTCTGTGCCTGCCACATGACCCCTGGCTGTTTCATACCCATGTCACACTCTGGGCTGGGACAGCAACTCCACAACTTATTTACAGAAAACACTTACAACAAGCAGCAAACCCGAGTCCCAGCCTGCAAAGTAGAGCAAAGGAGCCCAGAGAGATTTTCCTGCACTCCTTGCCACTTAGTGTCAAGGCTGAGATCCGGGTACGTGTCAGGGCTCGTCTACACTACCGCGCAGGGTCGATCTAAGATACCGCAACTTCAACTACATGAATAGCATAGCTGAAGTCAGCGTAATTAGATCTACTTACCGAAGTGAAGACACCGCGGTAAGTCTATAGCTGACGCTCTCCCGTCAACTGCGCTTGCGCTCCTCGTTCTGGTGGAGTACCGGTGTCAACCCTCGCTGGATCGATTGCTGCCCGACGATCCAGCGGGCAGTGTAGACAAGCCTTAAGTGTTAGGGCGAATGTACACTAGAAGTGCTACAGCTCCTGATAGTGTTCAAGACACCAAACTAGCATACAAGACACTCTAACCCAATGCGAGAGAGCTTGTCTGTCAGCATAACACCTCCACCTCTATGAGAGGCGGTAGCTATGTTGGCAGGGAAGCTCTCTCATCAACATAGCTCAGTTTACACCAGTGCTTAGGATGGTATATTTTACATCGTGCAGGGATGTGGATGAGTGTTCTGGTAAGTGATAAGTTCTATGTAGACAAGCCCTAGGTGGCATTAAAGTGCTACTAACTCATCCAGGAACACAAATTTGAATTATTAAAAAAAAAAAGTGCCATTATAACTGGAAGTAACTGATATCTCTCATCTCTGCCCTTGCCTTTTTTATGACTTCTGATGGCACAATGAATTAGATGATGGGTAAGTGAGGTAGTCACACTAATCATGACAGCAGTATCCATAGCTGTCAAGTATTTGCATCTACCATCAAGATGATAAAGAAGGCAGTCCATAACCAAACGGCATGCTGTTTGTTGATCCGGAAACTCCAATCTCCAACCTTCCAGTCCTAGCTAGTATTGCTTGCCTGGCAATTAGGTGTGAAGACAGGGCACTGGGTGCATTATGCATGAAGCCAACTATCAGGACAGCTTGCTTCATAATTTTCTCTCAAAGCCAAATCAAAACAACCTTCCTTTTGATTCAGTACTATGAGGGGCACACAGGGGATGTCACAGCCTTTCATTACCTCAGGAGACGAAAGCTCCTTTTCAGTCTCTGCCAGACTCTTTACCCATTATTTCTTTTTCCAAATAGAAAAAATAAAAATAATTAATTCAATTTGTGGACCCTACGAGGGTGGGAGCCACAGTGAACAAACAGCTTGAGAGAAACCAGGACCTCCAAAGTGCAGTCTTGGCTCTAGTCATCTCCCTCTTAGCTGCAGCCCATAATGAACACAATGGAATGTTTCAGTACCTCTAGGGTTAATGCTCCCATCTCCAGGACCATGCAAATTATTTTAACAAATCCAGCACCTAAACTCATGTCTCCTTAGTGAAGGGTGGAACATTTCAGAGTGGGAGCAAGTTCTCCCTCTCTTACAGACTTTGGGAACAGGGTGAAGTGAGAGGTTGAAGAGGTTCCCTCCATTAAACACCAAGGTCAGGAGTCTCTATTCTGAGTGGGTGCTCTGGTGTTTAGTAAGATATGATGAGCGAGCAAAGCACTTCCCACACTGAGCGCAGGAATATGGTCGCTCTCCTGGGTGGGTTCTCTGATGCTGAGTAAGAGATGATGAGCGAGCAAAGTGCTTCCCACACTGAATGCAGGAATATGGTCGCTCTCCTGAATGGATTTTCAGATGTTCAGTGAGAGATGATGAGTGAGCAAAGCACTTCCCACACTGAGTGCAGGGATAGGGTCGCTCTCCTGAATGGATTCTCTGGTGGTTGGTGAGGCCTGACAATTGGGTGAAACTTTTCCCACACTCAGTGCAGCAATAGGGTTTCTCTCCAGTGTGGATTCTCTGGTGGCTTTTGAGATGATGTATATAGACAAAGCCTTTTCCACAGTCAGTGCAGCGATGGAGTTTCCCTGTGTGGACTCTCTGGTGTCTAGAGAGATTTTCTGGATGACGGAATATTTTCCCACACTCAGCACAGCGATGGAGTCTCCCCGTACTATGGATTTCCTGGTGTCTCCTGAGACTTTGAAGGAGACTGAATTTTTTCCCACACTCACCACAGGAATGGGGCTGCTCCCCAGTGTGGATCTTCTGATGTCTAATGAGATGTTCTCGTAGGCAAAAATTTTTCCCACACTCGTGGCACAAGAAGGGTCTCTCTTCGCTGTGGATTTTCAGGTGTCTAGTAAGACTTGATATAACTTTGAAGCCTTTCCCACATTGGTTACAGCGATGGGGTCTCTTTTCTGAGTGGATTGCCTGATGATTACGAAATGTTGATGAATCCATAAATCTCTTTCCACACTCAGCGCAGGCAAAGGGTCTCTCTCCTGAGTGGACTCTCTTGTGGATGTTAAGAGCTGATATATGGAAGAATCTTTTTCCGCACTCAGCACAGTGATAGGGTCTCTCTCCCGTATGTATTCTCTGGTGGGCAATGAGATGTGATAACTGGTGGAATATCTTCCCACATTCAATACAGGGATGGTCTCTCTTCTTTCTGTGAGCTTTCCCATGTGCTCTGAACTCCTTCTTTCTCCTAAAGCTCTCCCCACACTCGCTACAGTGATACAGTTCCTGTCTCCTATGAACCATCCAGTGGTGGCTTATCAGGTCTCTCTGCACCTCGAATTCTTCTCTGCACACACGGCAGGTATATAGGCTCTTTCTGGGCTCAGCTTTTCCCTCTGCAGGAGGCCTTAGATATGGTCTGGATCTCCTCTGATGGCCTCTTGAGGTTTCTGGCTCCTTCCTGGTCAGATTTTTCCTCTGCCTTTGTGGTGTCTTGTGGTGTCTTCCCCGTTCAGATTTCTTGGAATGGTTCTTCCCTGATGTCCCTGGGAAAGGCCTGAATGGCTCCAGGTTGCCACGCCCTTCCTCAGGAGTCTGCCCCTCAGCCCTGCTCAGGTTCCTCGCCCCTGCTTGGTGGGGAAGAGAGTACAGATGTTATTTCTTGTGCTGCTCACAAAGGGAAAACACTAACATTCCCAGCAGGGGGATGTGCCTGAGAACGCTCCACACCCCTCCCCTTAGAAGAGGGCTGACCATGGT